TTTTATCATTTACGCTACCAGAATGGCGTTCATCATATACAATCCTACAGCCAACATACAATCATCAACATTTACTAATTAGTGGAAATGAATCAGATATTGGTTTAGTATATATGTATCATATTACATCACAATTATTGATTCGTACATTTAAGGGTATGTTGAAATTTTTGAATAAGATAATTTTTAATTTTATTAAATGATTAAGATGAAATGAATACATTTAAATTAAACATTCTGTGAACACTTTTTTTTTTTTTTTTTAGATGATCGTTTCAGCAGAAAATTCCTTATTTTAATAATTTATTAAAAAGGCTAATGTTTTTATTAATGTTTCAGGTTATGAAAAGAAAATTATGATTATTAAAAGGAAAGAAAAAACTATTAATTTAGGTCATGAAAGACGTGTCACATCCATATCTGTTAGCTGTAATGGTGCATTTTTTGCAACAACATCAACAGATTGTACTGTTAGAATATGGAATTTTTCAATTGTAATCGTTATATCATTAATAATTAGCAAATCAAATGTTTTCCAAAATTTTCCTTTTTTTCTTTTTCGCCAAAAAAAAAAAACATATTATTATAATTTGTGGAATGATAATTACTACAGTGATGTGCCAGGAACCGGCTTTTTTTTTCAGTTGACTCGTTTATTCATAATATATGAAAAGAATAATTGAATTGGCGTTAATATTAAAAATCATTTTAAATTAAATTAAACAATGAATGATTGTAGGATGAAGCAGTACATGTGATGAAACCACATAAAGGTCGAGTAACATGCTCATTGATAACTTCTGATTGCAAATATATTATCACCGGTGGTACTGATTCATGTGCTAATGTTAGCATTTTTATAAATTGTTCAAACATTGTAATGAAATGATTTGCATTTGAAACATTAAATATCTAATTGAAAAAAATATCAAAAAGAAAATATTTCAGGTAATTTCAGTGGAAAACTGGGAAGTTGTACAATCTTTCAAAGATCATACAGGAACGATTGTTTCATTAGCGCTTGCATCAAATGATGAATTTCTGGTTACCGGTATGCTTTGGATGTGCATAAATATAATTCATTTAGTAAATTATACATCAATATTAGTATTAATTAATAATTTGAGGATCCGGCGAATTTGTCGTTATAGTTTGGAATTTATCAACGGGTGAATTAGCTGTCCGATTGGCTGGTCTGATGGCACCGGTATCGTGCATTACAATGACCAGGTAAAATTTTTAGATTTATCACTTTTTCTTTCTCTCTTTTCTTGAATATGCGTAAAAAATTTGAATATTTAACAAATCTGATATGTATTATGTGAATTTGAAATTTTGACCAAGTAGGATCGATTTATTTACCTCATTCTCATTTAATTATAATTTTTAAATTAAATTAAAATCGTTAATTTCTTTAGCAATGATGCATTTGTGATAGTTGCATGTAAAGATGAAACGTTAAAAGTATTTGGAACAGTATCCGGTCAAGAATTACATGAATTATCGGGTCATGATGGGAAGGTTGTTTCAATGGTTGCAGCATATGATGATTGCCAACTTTTTGCTGCAACATTTGCAAAGATTTATGTTTTTGATATACATAATGGGAAACTTTTGGATGTCCTGAATTGTATCAATAGACAACCGGTCACATCGCTTAAAGTATCGTCTTCCATTCAACTATTTCATTCATTTCGAAATAATCAAACTTTTATTGATGGAATAATTTAAATCACAGAAAGGATTATCCAGTCATGATGGAAAGGTTTTTACATAAATAAATAAAAAATTTTTTGATTTAAAGCTCAGATTTTTTCAAAATTAAAATTTTAATTTCTCATTCGATAATGTTTAGCAAAATTAGTGCGAAATGAGAAATTTGATCTTTACATTCATAGATGTATGAATGTAAAGATACATTCATAAAAGACAACAAAATTTAAGAAATCAAAAATTTCTAATAATTTTGAAATTCAGATTTTTCAAATTTCACAGCGCTGGAAACAAAATTTTCAGATTACGAATGATAATTATTTCTTGCTATCAGCATGTGGTGATCGAATTAGTATTTGGAATATTCAACATCAAGATCATGAAATAAATACCAAACATGGAAGAGGTTATTCTACAATTTATAAGAAGCGAATTTAAAAAAAAAATAATAATTTTTTTCAGCTTATCAAATCCTTCTGAATGCAAATTAATAACTTAACCATTAACCTGAAATAATGAAATAATGTGTTACTTGCAGAAATTATAACGGATATATGCATGTCACCGGATGAGAAAAGTGCTGCTTGTACAACAAATGATGGTGTTATAGCATTATGGGATTTAGAAATATGTCAATGCATTTGTACCGTTCGTTTCTCAAGCAATTTTTTCAAAAGAAAAAAAAAGAAAGAATTAAAACTTAATGAAATTTAAACATTTAAAGAAATGTATAGGAAACAATAGATTAATTTGTGAAACGAAAAAAAAAATTTTCATTTTTCTCAAAATTTATTAAAAATTCAAGTCTAATAAGAAAGAAGAAAACAATGAAATGATGTTATTTTCTAGATGATTCAGAAACGATCAGTACCAGTACTTCGTATAAAATTTTCCATTAATTCAGTTTATTTGTTAAGTGGTGATGCCGAAGGTCAAATTAATATTTGGAATTCAAGCAATGGAAAATTGAGACGAATCGTTAGTGTATGTTAAGCTATGTTTATTCATGCCATACTTTTCATATCAACACTTTTTTTTTTTGTAATATAATTTTAAGTTTAACTCAGAAAAGGTGAAAGTTGTCTTGGGAAGACAAATTCCGTAAATAATTCATAAAGTAAACTGATATAAAAGAAATTTGAGAAATTACTTTAGAATGAAATTAAAGTATAGCTTAAATGCATGAAAATCTTCAATTTTTCTTTTTCATTTTGATTTTTATAGCATCATAGCAAAGCTATAGACTCAATATTTTGCTTATCTGATGGCTTTCGAATATTATCTGTTGATCAGTCTAGCATTGTGCTCATATGGAATTTATTCGGTGCTGATGAAACATTTCAAGCAGATCGAATTCTTGCATTCACCGGTATTCAACCACCAATTTTTCTATTACCAGATAACACTCATCTAATTGGATATCTTCCAACTAGTAAAAAAGAGTAATCTTTTTTCTCTTTTTCATTAAGTTAAATCATTTTTAAATGTTAATGTTAACGAAGGAAGAAGAATTTTTCGAATTTCATTTATTTTTCGTTTACAAAATAAATGTTGTTGAAATTAATTGATAAATAATGAAAATTTATAAAAAAAAAAATGAAAATTAATCTCTTTTTTTGAGAACAAGAGACATTTTATTGTAATTTGAAAAAAAAAGTAATACTAATTTATCATTCGACATTGTTGCATGATATTTTACCTGTTTTTGTTGATGACTTAGATCGTTAAAGGGTTGCAATGCTCGTGTTCTTGAGAAAAGTTGCTGAACATTTCATTTATATTTGTTGAACAGTATACGATGAATTTTTGAAAAACTGTTGATATTCCATTATTGCTTAAATAATTTTCAATAAAAAGAAGATAATTAGAATTTCGAACTTTTGAAAATATCAAAAGAAATAGAAAATAATTTAAAGAAAAAAACAACGATTCATTCTTAATTTATGATTTTGAAAGGAAAAAATGTTTACCAGGCTAAGAGTATGGGCTATTGAGGATGAAAGCGTTGTAATGAAAGCGGAAATTTGTCATAATGAAGAAATAACGTGCTTTAATACCTCATCAAAAGGTACATTACTTGTAACCGGTTCAGCTGATTTATCCTTGAAACTTTGGCAAGTCGATACTGGCTTCCTTATGCAGGTGAAAAATAATCATTATTAATCAAATAATTTATCTATCAGCTCTCTTTATGTAATTATAGAGAAAGAAAAAAGACAAGTAAGATATAATTAAACAAAAAATACAATATTTTATCTTGTAACCAAATAAATCTAATTGTTTCTGTTGTTAATCAATTTTTTTTTTTTGCTTATACAGTGAACCATAAATAAAAAAAAATAAAAAATAAAATGAAATAAATGCAACAGTATCTCAATTACACATTAATAAACTTGCACTTAAAAAAAAATGATTTTAATTTTTTTTTTTTCAAAATTTTCAAATCAAAAAAAGAGAATAGAACTGACAAAAACATTGTACAATACATTTATAATCTATCAATTCAATTGATCCGTACAGGTACTTGTTGGACATGAGGAGACAGTAATTTGTTGTGCTATCGCTAATGATGAAAGTATAATTATTAGTGGTGCGAAAGATTCACAAATTATCGTTTGGGCAACATCTACCGGAAATGCTCTTTTTTCAATGAAAACGGAATCACCTGTATTAGCATTAGTTATTAATGCTGATACAACCGTTATTCTTTCAGGTTACATAATTTATTGGAAAAGAAATTAAATTTTTTATCAAATTTAATTAAATAATTAAATATGTTTTTTTTTTTCTACAATGTGATCTATTGCATTTATATTACGATGATAATTATTTGCAATGATACATATTTATGCGTGTATATTTATAATTTATATCCAACATTGATTCAGTATCAATTCTGCGAGTTTGTGATTTTAATTATTAAAGTTAGATAATGATGTGAATGTTTTAGCAAACTCAACTGGTTGGATTGAAGCATACAGTATAGAAGATGGAAGACTGCTTTCATGCTTCAATGCTCATAGTGTTGCTAAAAAACTTGTAAGAT